TCACCAACTCTACCTGGCTATGTCATGAAGCCACACTCATCTTTTGAATGGCCACAGCATCCAGATGCCCTTTAGCTAATTTTCTCAGCCTATCCTTGTTTCAGTTGGGGTTATAGCTGAATAGCAGCAAGGCTCCCTGAGTGCCTCTCCATTGTCTGGGCAGTGGACTCTAGTAAGCCCATATGCAGCCTTACATGTCAGAGATTTTCTTTGCTAGTTAACACACTGTAACTTCAAGCTGAGTTTTGTAAGTGCAACTTGGTTATGCCACAGTTACAAAATACGAGAGGGTGAACACAAATTTTTCTGGCTTAAATTGAAACCTGCAAATGCTCAGCAGTGTTGTCTCCATTAGTAAATTAAACATATTCAGAAACCATCTTGGGTACTGACAGTATAGCATGACACGGTCTGACCTACACTGAAGCTATAATCTTGGTCACTGAGTGCTGGTTGGAAATTCTTTCTGGAATGGTTGACTTCCAAATTATATCCAGGAGTTGTTTGAGAGAGTGCTGGTTGGCACATGAACAAGCATAGTTAGAACATTTGGTCATTCTTTATTCTGCTAGATATCCCTGTTGCAATGCCCAGGAGCGAAAGAGCAAAAGATGACCAAATTTACCTGGTAGAAAGGGAATCTGCCTTTAAATATCTTGTTTTGGCATTATCTAAAAAATGTAGCTCAAAGTTTTCAGATATGTTCTGTTATTGGGAAACTACCTTCACAACTATTGTAACTTAAATAAAGGTATTGAAAGGTATTGTATTAGTTCTATGAGGAGTTATATGGTTGTAAACAAACAAACAAACAAAAGAAAAACACTAGAATGTTGGAAACAATTTATGATGTTCTAGCTGTCCAAGGTCAGCATCTTATAGAGGTGGAATTATGACTACTAATAATTAGGCATAATAGATGCAATATAGCAATATAGGATAATAAAGCATAATATAGCTGATCTTTTCTCTCATGAGGAAAACATGCAGTAATTTGGTGTAAGGAATGACTTGCAGAAGCTCCTGCATATGGACTGGCACTTATGAGACATTGGCTGAAAACATTGTTTCTGTAGTGGTTGCATTCTGAGTAAAAGAAATTAAAGGTGGTCTTAGGTATAATAAGATTATTACATCCAGAAAAAGAATGGCAAGCAGAAGTGTAAAGTAACAAGCCTTATGCTGAATTACAACTTTATAACTGCTGGCAGTATGATGCATAGATCATTTTACAAGGAAGAATAAGACACTCCATGTGCCATTGAAATAAAGGTTTGATAAGTGCACATACTAGAATTTAATCTGACAAAAAATAAGGAAAGTTTACACTTTAACCATTGAGACAAATTAATCCCAGACAAATTACTGAAGTTAGTGTTCATTTATTAATTTAACAATTTCTATCCTCATGACAAGGGAAACACCTGGGACTTGCTGCATGATGAAAAATGGGTTTATTGGAAGTCTCAACTGGCTACAAGTATTGAAACAGCTCAGGTCAAGCACTGATAAATAATTTAAAGAAACAAGTGTGAGGTAGGTGTCACTTTAATTTTATATTAACAGATCTATTAGTTCTTAACCTTTTCAGACATGTAATTGCTAAATGAAATCATGTTTTTGTACCTTTGCTTCATAAAATACCACTTGCTTACTCATGCATTTTGTATAAACTTTGATGTTGGCACTGACACTGTTTCACATGCCCATTGCTTCAGACTAGCAAGTACTGTGTTATCCTTTAAAATATATTGTAAGTATGCCAATTTTTATTTTTAGCAACTTGGAAAATGTGTTGAGCATTACCTGGAAATTGGCAAGGACAAGGGACATACTGTGTTGGAACTGAAATATTTTTCTGTGCAACACTTTTACATGTTGGCCTCTTTCTGGTAGAAATGACTGTAGATTTGGCTAAAATTGTCACAAGGAACAGGTCATTCCAGTATTATTTTATTTGAATGCTTGGTGGGTGAACTCTGAGATATCTGCTGTCAGCATAGGCTCTTAGAGAATTATGAAAAAAATAAGATAATCCTAAGTCTTACATGTAAGTATTTTATTGTGAAATCCACAAAAACTACATTAATTTTGCAAGATTATCTCAAAATTAGCTTTTAACTGACTTTGGATTTTCCCTGTAGTTAAAATCTCATTGGAGATTTATAGATGAGTTATATTTGAAAGGGAAAATGTTGTGATTGAGCAGTGTTTGCAACTTTTAGGGCTTCATTTTGAATCCAGTCATGATCCCATTAAATCAATGAAAACACTACTGTTTTCAAAATGACCCTTTTCATTGCTTCATTGATGCTAAGGAGTTACAGCCACGGACTTGCAAAGAAGCTAAATGATTTTATTAGAACTTAATCCCACAGGGACTTGCACAGAAACGTGGGCCTCTTCTATAAAGAGAACATCAAATACTACCAAATAAAAACTTTATGTTGTTGGTTGTGCCATGGTTTGTGACTCTACATAAAGTGTGGTCCACAGACCATCATTAAGAGCTTTCCAATTAATAAGTATAAACCTGCCTTTGAAAGCTGCATAAACCCATCAGTTCATGAGGCACAGCAAGTAACTTCTTCTAGCTTCAGAAAAAGGGCTACCTTTTAAAAGTCATGTTTTTCAGCTAAATATCATTATAAATATTTTTACTTCTCTTGTACATCTATTCCATTAATTTTTTTACCAGTCTTCATGAATTAGTAACTGTTTTGAGTGAGTTTAAATAAATAAGAATTTTAAATTCTACTGAAATTTAAAATTAATTTGAGGGTTTCTCTGTTTAGCAACTTTCGTTTTGAGCTCCTTTTCATGGAGATGAAGGTACAGTGTTAACTGTATTTACAGTGTTAATCAGGTATTTAATGAGAAAATCTTAAATTATGGTATTTCTGCATCATGTTAAAAGCATCAGAAGAGATACTTGAGTCTAAATCCTTTAGCAGCACTTCTATTTCACATTACTTTAGCCATATTTCTTGTTAAGAAGTGAATAGGCTGAAATGAGAACTAAAAGCTTCTGTACCTTACACATATAAATATTTAAATTTCTCTAGGATAGGCTTTGTGTCACCTAGTAAAAAAAAAGGTTAAAATACAAACTCACTAAGTCCACACTTTGGAGGCACAGGGAGTCTGAAAGCAGGTGAGCATGGTGGTGGCCAAAGCAGAAAAGCAGATGGGTGCTCTGCTGCTCATGTTGGTGAAGAACATGGTGATTTTTCAAGGTGAAAATGCTGCTTTCTAATTGATTAAGAGTCAATGAGTGTACATCTCTTGTCATTAGAGGCAGAAGACTAAATAGGTTTATTTGACACCAGACTCTGAACTCTTCTTCCAAAGGATGAAAGAACTTCCAGCAGCATGGTGCATGGCTGTACAGGGGTGAATTTCACCAAGCAGCCCATGAAGTTCTCCTTAAAAAATTTCACTGAAGGTAGAAGTGCATTATCTCTTTTCATCTTTTGCAAGACCAAAATTTTCAGCTGTCAGACTTTTACTGGTGTATTACCACTACTACGGGATGCTGGGAGTGTACGTGCATGTGTGGTAGACATTTGGAGGTGGGTGGTGTAGGCTGCTGTTCTTGTGGACACCTCACAACATTTATGGTTTGAGCTCCTTCTGTTTAGACCATTTTCTGGTAATTTTTATGATTTCTGGCAAGCTTTAATGGGAGCAGATATTCTACCCCCAAAAATCCAAGTACTTTTAGTTTCTGTATAAAAATCTTCAGTTTAAAATACATTTGTCTATTTTTGTAAGTTCTTAAGTTAAGTGGTCCCATGGGAAGGCGCTGCTTTTCTGTTACCAGCCTTGCAGAGGTGAAGCTGTCTTTAGAGTTGAGCAAAAAAGTTGCTTTAGCACTGTCAGATATCTAATTAATTCCTCAGTAAATAAAGGCATTCTGTAATTAAATAAGCAAGATGTGCAATCAGTTCTAAGACAAAATGCTTTGCATATTAATATATTGTAATCCGGGAGCCCTATGAGGCTTGGTTTTGGATATGAAGTGTTTGTAACAGTTTTAACATTGGGGAGCACACTTCAGGCAAAACAGTGGTGTTTTTTTTTTTTTGGTTTTTTTTTTTGAAAAATTCAGCTGAGTGTGATCTACGGATAAATATTTGAATGTCTGTTTAAAAAGGGGTAATTTTCAGTAGGGAAAACAACAGTTTCAGGATGAGATTGTTGTAAATACATGAAAGGGATTGAAAAGTAACCTTTGGCATTTTAATGGAGCAGCTGCGCTGCTGGGGAACCGCTGTTATTGCCTTGCGGAGTAAAAGTGTTTTTCAGAGGGGGTTCATGGTTTGGAACTTGGTGCTTTCAAGAACCAGTAACGCCGCGCACCAGCTCCCGCTAGTTCATCCGTGGGGTGCTCGGCGCTGTCCGGCCTCCTTGTGTGAAGCACTTGGGGCTACAATGACAGGCGTGACAGCGCGAACAGCGCCAGACACCCATTCCCGACGGGAAGGCGAGGGGAAATGAGGAACTCAGCGGAGCGCCGCTCACCTGGCTGCTCCCCGGCCCGTCCCATTGGCTGCCCGCCGCCCCGCCCCATCCTCTGATTGGCTGCTGCCGCCTCCCGCCGCCGCCCCGCGCGCGGCCGGTCCCGGTCCGGTACCTGGAGGGGAGCGCGGGGCGGCTCCCCCCGCCCCCGCCGTGCCGCCGCGCGCTCCCATTGGCGGCAGGGCCGGCGTGCTGGGCCCGCCCATTGGCTGGCTGGGCGGCCGGCCCGGCCGCGATTGGCCGGCGGGCGGGGGCGGGGCGCGCCCCGCCGGGAGCCGGGCGCTGTGTTTGGGCTGGAGTTGCGGCGGAGCGGGCTCGGGAGCGGAGCTGCGCGGCCGGTGCCGGGCAGCGCGGTCCGGCACGGCGCTCGGCGCCCAGCCCCAGCCTCAGCCGCGGGCGCGGGATGGCCGCCTCGGGCGGAGAGCGGCACGGCGCGCTGGGCTGAGCGGAGCGAGCCGCGGTCGCCCGCCTGCCAGGACCATGCCGTCGGGAAGGGAGCCGTGCGCCCCTCGGCTGCGGGCTCCGAGCTGGGCGGCCGCCCCGGCAGCGGCCGGCAGCGCCTGATCCCGCGCCGCGTTGCCCCCGCGCACCGCCATGGACGAGCGCTTCAACAGGTGGCTGCTGCCGCCGCTGCTGGCGCTGCTCTTCCTGCTCATCGTCTACCAGTACGTGTCGCCCGCCTGCCCCGGCGCCGCCTGCCCCCGCCGCCCGCCGGCCTCCGCCGCCCGCCGCGAGGGGGGCCCGGAGGAGCGGGAGGAGGAGGAGGAGGCGGCGGCGATGCCGCGGCTGGCGGCCAAGTTCCCGTTCGCCCGGGGGGAGTTGTGCCGGCGGGTGCGGTTCGACATGAGGGGCCGCGACGTGATCGTCTTCCTCCACATCCAGAAGACGGGCGGCACCACCTTCGGGAGGCACCTGGTGCGCAACATCCACCTGGAGCAGCCCTGCTACTGCCGGGCCGGGCAGAAGAAGTGCGCCTGCCACCGCCCGGGCGGCGACAAGGACACCTGGCTCTTCTCCCGCTTCTCCACCGGCTGGAGCTGCGGGCTGCACGCCGACTGGACCGAGCTCACCAGCTGCGTGCCCGCCGCCATGGAGCGCCGCGGCTGCGCCGGCAACCGCACCCTCAGGTCAGTGCCTGCTTTCCAGATGCTCCGAATCACAGCCTGCCTTCCCCCGCGCCCTGGCAGCAGGTCCCGCTCCCCGGCCCCTGGGCGGGAATTGTCCGCTGCCGTCCTCAATTAGAAACAAACGGCGGGGCAAGGCTGGTGTTCCGGGGGAGGTTCTGTTGTGGGCTCTTGCCTTCCCGGTGTGTTACCGGTGATGCTTTTTCGCTTTGTCAAATTCGTGCCGATTCCATGCAGCGCGCGCGCAGCTGCCTTTGTTAGCGCGAGAGAAACTCCGCTCGTGCTCCCGCAAGTTTCTCCTGTTTGTCCTTCAGAAACTTGCCTTTAACAAATCACTACGCTTTTCTGCAGCCAGAAGAGTGCCTCTGCAGAATCTGATGGATCGTTGCAGCTGCGGAATGTTGTGACTAGCGGAGTTCGAAGTATCCAGCAGCCCTTAAACTCTCTTTCACCCGTGTTTCGCGTTGGCACATAGGCAGGGTCTGTGCTTCCCGTGCTGTCCTGGCCGCTCGCTCTCCGTGCCCGCTCAAAGTCGGGAGACCATGCGTGGCAGGCTCTGTGCAGGGGACATGGTGCTGGCAAAAATCGCACTGTGAATGTCCCTTTGGTGACCTGATGACAGTGGAAAAGGGAATTCTGTGTGCATGCTCCTCTCTGCATGTTGTAGTGTGGTTTTGTTTGGTCTTGTGAAAGGTCTTCCCTGTTCTATACATGGAATGGTCAGATGGGCAATCTCTCTTGATAAGAGATACCTCTTGGTCATGCATTAAGTTTTAGTCTTTGTTCTTATTTATTCACCGTTCAGTCATTTTATTCAGGCTAGCATTAGAATCTGTCTCTATTTGTTTGATTGATTTTGGACATGTGTATTAAGGAGTTGTGAGTTGAATTCACACTTAAACCTCTGCACTTTAATAGTTGTAACTTCAACTCTGTAAAATATTAAGGGATATATAGGAAGAATACCTTTTTTAAAAGTTATGTAGTTTGGCAGCTACCTTATGTTTTTTCATTTCAGTATCCCTCTTGATTTCATGAGTCCACAAACTTTAAATTTTAAGTAGAATCACTTCCACATTGTGGTTTGTATCTTGTCACTTAACATGTATACTCCGTGACATTCATGGGCGCATTTTCACAGGGTTTATTCATCAAGACAATAGTGTTGATTATTGTTGTTGTTGAACAATTTGAAGGTTATTTGATGTGAACATTAAAGGCCCTCCCATGCAGCAAATCTAGTTGCATTTGGAAAGACTGCAATCAGGATAATTTGAATTTATTGTAGATGGTTTTGGACTTGGGCTGTACTTGCAAAATACTGTTAATTTTTTTTTTTCATAAAATTGTATGAATTCCCTTTAGCTGAATATGAAGTGTATGTATTTGCTGATGGAAGAGAAATGCTATGAATGTCTTCAAGGACAAAATAATTTGGTGGTAGCTGTAGAGCTTTAAGGAGTATTCAAAAAACTTGCAATGTAAAAGGGAGGAGAGGAGTAAGAGTAATACTTGTAAAAATGTCTGAAAATACATAGTCTGCCAGTGAAATCCACTTTTTCTCTCTCATGAAGAATATTAGTGGGTAAACAGTTGAGTGCTAAATTCAGTTGCAAAGATTACAAATGGGCAATAAAATTAGAGTAGTGGCTTCAGTACTATTACAGAAAACCATTCTTGTATTAGGTAAATTTCAAACTTCAAGTTGAACTACACAGCCAGTCGTAGTGGTTATTCAGTTCATAGTTAGTAATTTTACTGAAAAAAGACATGTAGTGATACTTTACTATTACAGGTGAATACTGTTTTCTGATTTTTTTGGTTACTGATTTTGTTTAACTAGTGGATTATTTAGCTAATGTAAGATTGTACTTCTTGATTTGTCTTTACATAAATGAGGAAAGCGCTGTGAATAATTTATTGCATTGTTCTAATACTCGTTCATTCTTGTGTTATAACCTGTGCTAGGAGACACCTTTACATTTTTCCCTTTGTTTTGTCATTATAACCATGTAGCTTGACTTCTGCTTCTCAAGGAACTCTGAAAGCAATCAAATAACCCTGAAGTATGGATTATCTCTGCTGTGAATGTCTTTGCTCCTGGTGAAATTGGAATCAAGCCCAAGCTACTTTGCTGTACTATTAGAGGCATACATCTAAGTATTTTTTTAATGTCTGAATGGAGAATTGAGGAGACTGAATACCTAAAATAGGCAAGAAACGAGCATACGAGTCTAATGTAAAGCATACTTTTAATATTTTTAAGTATTTTAGACTTTAAGACTTCTGCGTGTATTTGAAACACTAGACTTCCTTGAATAGCTCAACTTTTCTGCCTTCCAGCTGTGGTGTCAGGAAACTGATTAAATACTTGACAATGGATTTTCTTTGAGGCTAGAAGGACAAACTTTTACAGATCTGCTATCAAGGTGTTTGATCTGTGCCATATATTTGATTCAGCGAAGGTGTTCTGTGAATTTCAGATTTTTTGTTTGTTTCTTCACTAGCAGATGTTAATATAACCTGTTCTTTCAGATCCCTATATATGCAGTCTGTCTTCTACTACATGGAGGCAATAAAGGATTTTTAGTGTACGATAGTGAAAATTTGTTTCTTAGAGGGCTAAAAAGAGTGTAAGCTAGATTAAGTCCTGCCTTGAAACAGAGATCTTGAGGAGATTTAATGAAGAAACTATAATTAGAATTCATAGGGGAAGGGGCTAGCTGATAAGGAGTGGATGGTCATGGTAAAGGTCCTGGAAGACCTGTGGAGCACAACCTCTCCTCAGTGTTTTTCTTTCATTAACAGCGTGTTTAAATCACGTTAGGGTTTTGAAGAGAATTTGTCTTAGACTTTCCTCTTCCTAATGTTGGAGTTTTGAAGTCTCAGGTTCCAAGACAGAACATGGGGCAAAAACTGATGTTGTGCTCCAGAAATCTGAACTTCTTTAAGCCCAAGTGCCAGCATGGACTTTTGCCTCTGTGGGACTTAATGGTATGGTGTGTCTTGTCCCAGCTTAAGTATGAAAAGTTGGTAACATTAAATGCTACTGTGAAGTTGTTGAACTGTCTCTTTTGTTAGAAAACAAAGTAATTCTTTTGAATGACGTTACTTTTAAAAACAACCAAACCAAGACAAGAACTGTAGACATAATTTCTTCAAACATTTGCATATGTTTTCGTTTTCAGGATGTGATATTTTCTGCTAAAATACCTGTTTTAAGTGTCTACGGAGGCAAGCTATTAGTTTTCCATACTAATGTGTAGCTTTCACCTTTACAAAAGATACTATCTGGATAGTGCTTTTTTTTTTTAAATGAAAACATTTATTTTTAAAGAAACAGTCTTTTATGTGCTTACATCACCCTCTGTGGAAACCGTTGAAATTGGTGATGCTTGTGTTCAGCTCCACCCCTGGAACCTGGCTTTCCTTCATAGGTGCCAAGAAGCTGACACTGTGGAATCTTAGCCAGCACTGCTTGAGGAAAGAATGGGAAGAGAAATGTTGTGAGATGTCTAACCTGTTATGCCAGGGAAGAGTTGGTGTCAAGTCTGAGTGACATTAGGTTGCCTCTGCAGACAGTGGGGAGAAATAGAATAACACAGGCAGCCCTTTTAATGGTCTCAGACATGTCTGAGACCTGCTGAATTGTCTTCTGGAGGGCCAGTTCTTCCATTCACTGATAACAAGGGAAAGACTAGAGTAGTGAATTGAGACTTTGTGTCTAAAACTAGAGAAGAAGAGTTCCACATCTAATATTGCAGAGAAATTGTCCAAACCGATTGTCTGCCTCTGTTAGGTTACCAGGTACTCCTTGGGGTGTGAGGTAGGGCTTGCTTTGCCTCTCTGCTCTATGGAGGAAGGGTTGAGACAACCTGAGTAGTCCTGATCAAGGCACTTCTTATCCCTTGCTGATAATGCCTGCAGTATAATTAATAATTATTCATTATTGTTTATTTGAAGTTTGATTAAACTAGGAAGGCAATATTTTGAACTACACACTTGAAAGAACACTCTATAGAAAGTTTTGTCTAATTTTCTAATATGAAACAGTGAAATCAGTCAAGTTGTGTAAACCCTGTAAGTTTTATTGTTAATACAGTTTAGTCTCCAAAACTATTGATTTTCATTAATTCACCTCCATTATACTCTTTATTTCCTTGTCCTTTTTGACTTACCATATGTTACATTTTTCTATGGAGGTGTAATTCAGCAGTAAAACCATGAGTCCTGAAATGGGAAAAGTTGCATAGAAAATATTAGTATAATTCCTTTTCCTTCTTTTGCATTCCTTTATTTGACTATTGTGTGTTTTTGAAGCTCTAGATAAAATAAAAAATAAGACAGACTCTGATCTTTGCGGGCATGGTAACTGATCATCACAAAAATGTAAGAGTGTTAATTAAAAAATAGGACTATGCTGAAGGTAGTGGAGAGAAGAGAATAAAAAGTCACAAAAATTTGAACTAAAAAAAAGCAAATTCTTAATTGTACCTTAGTATCTTCTACAGAAATGAGTGCTGGAGCCAGTAAATTCTGTATAGTTTTTTAAATAAATGTAAGGAACAAGAAAGGCCAAACAATTTCCTGTGCTCCTGCTAGTGACTGTGGGTTTTTTACTTCCTTACCTGTCTCCAGTGTAATCTGCTCAAGGGTTTCATTGTCCTTAAAATTGAAAAGTGGTGTTGTCTTCCCCAAGTGCCTAGTGTGAATCTTGTTAACTTCAATTTTAAGCCCATTGCATCTCCTGTCTTTTGAGAACCTGAGAACAAATCGATCTCGTTTTCTCTGCAGTAGCCTTCTGGGTACTTTGCTTCTTAGGAAGCCCTCTTTCAAGCTTCCCTGCTTAAATAGTAACCAAATCCAATTCACTCTGTCTTTATTGGAAGAACACAAAGAATGGCCTACTCTTTGGGTTTGTGTCAGTTGTTTTCTTGAAAAGTAGTGTTTCAGTGGGAGTGCAATATTTTGTCTCTTAAGTGTAGTACAAAATGGACCAGAAA